AGAGAGAGAGAGAGAGAGAGAGAGAGAGAGAGAGAGAGAGAGAGAGAGAGAGAGAGAGAGAGAGAGAGAGAGATAGAGATAGAGAGAGAGAGAGAGAGAGATTTTGAGAGAGACAGAGGGAGGAAGGACAACGTCCTGGAACATAACAAAATATCCCTCCCAACGCAGCTCCCTATTAGCCATGCCCCACCAGCCCCCACGAGAACCGCGCCCCCCGCCCCCGCCCCCGCCCACCGACGCCAGCGTCTCCCATGTGGACAGCTCCTGCTTCAGCGCCCGCGCGTGCGCCGCCGCCGCGCCCGGCCCCGCGCCGCCGCCGCCGAGCGCGCCCTGCACGCTCTGGATGACCCCCGACAGCAGCCCGCCCGCGCCGCCGCGCTTGGGGCCGCCGGCGGCGGCCTCGCGGGCCGCGTCTTGCTCCGCCAGCAGAATCCGTTTCTTCTTCTCGGCGCACGTTTCCAAAGCCTGCCCGATGAGGGGCGGATGAGGGGTAGAGAGGTGGCGGGTGTGTAGAGTGAGGCGCAGCGGGATGCAGGCGCCCATACACAGGACGGCGTGAATTGGGGCTGGCAGGCGCCAAGCTGCTGGCAGCGGCTGCTCGTACGGCCGCCTGCAGCGGACCACTCCTCTGCCCAGTCCTGGATTGAGCACGGCCGCACCGCATCAATTTGTGTGCGCATGCATGCGTGCACGCAAACACATACACCCACAAACACCCGCACACACACACCCACACAAACACACACACGCACACACGCAAACACACACACACACACACACACACACACGCACACTTCCACAAGCAGCACGCGCCCACCTGTCTGTACTGGCTCTCCATGGCCGCCACCTCAGCCGCCTCCACAGGCCGCACAAACAGCGACAAATAGCTGTCACCACCCAATCATAAGCGCGTCGTGGCAGCGTGGCACGCGTACAGAGCGTCAGTTGTGGCTTGGGCTCAAAGAGAAGCGGACGGGAAGACGCAGGGCTGCGGCCGAGCGCAAAGGCGAGAGAAGGAGAGGTGCCGCCGAGCCGCGCGCGGCTGGGCAGCGGTGGTAGCGGGCCGAGCGCGGCGGAAGAGGGCGCCAAGCGGTGGTTGTGGGGCGCCTGGTCACGGCCGACCTGTAAGGGAAGTCCACAGAGGCGTAGCCAGACAGAGCGCTGATGAGCCACGTGCCTAACACGCCGACTCTGATGATGGCCTGCAATCAAATACAACATGAGGGCCGGGGCCAGGCATGCGGCGGCGCGCTCTCAGTGGCGGTGCCGCACTGCGCGGGGGCGTCGCGGCGTGGGCGATGGATGGTAGCGGCTGTGGCGTGCGCGAGAGCGACGCATGCGCGCGCGCGCGCGCCTGTGTGAGCAGCGGCAGCGAAAAGGAGCCGACGGGAAGACCCGGCAGGAAGCGCCCCAGGGACCAGAATCCGTAGAGGAAGGCGCCCCACGCCAAGAGTGCCCCCGTCGCCGCCCGCTGCCGCCAGAACGGGCCGCCGCTGGAGAGCAGGCGGTGTGCGTGGTGCAGCGGGAGAGCGCCCAGCAGAAGCGCCAGCAGGCCGCGCAGCGTGACGTGCCAGTCCCAGCGGCGCAGGCTGCGGGGGCGGGGGGCGAGGGTGGTGCGGAGGGAACGGTGGTTGCGTCGGGGTGTGATTGGGCTGGCTGGCCGCCAGCGGCCTGGGTGTGTCATAGGGGACTTCCAAGAGAGCAGCTGATGTGCTGCCTTCAGTGGGCCGTTGCTGTTACTTGCCTCCCTTTTGAGAGGCTGGGGGGTTTCTGGGGCAAATCGACCCGGGCTTGAAACCCGCCTGTCGGCTGTTGCCGGCAATCCTAGCCTAAGCCAGCACATCGCCGCCCCTCCCTGCTCTGCCCTAGGGCGCCTGTGCGCACCCTGGTTCAATGATATCCACCACCTCATACACGACCAGCAGCAGCAGATTTGTTGAAAAGGCGAACGTCGACGACCACAATACCTGGAGAGCCGGAAGGCGCATGAAGTGTAGGACAACGCACAGCAGCGGCGGCGCGCCCAGCGTCGCACGCGGGTGTCGAGGCGCGATGTGGGGCGCCGCAGCTGTGATCGACGCGGGATGATCCACTTACTTGTAGACCCAGATCCGTTTCGTCGTATTTGTGGAGGAAGGTCCAATTGAGGAACAGCCATCCAACCCAGTACGAGCCTAGGAAGGAGCCTACCGCCACCAGCGCAGAAAATCCCGACATCCTATATATGCCGCGTTTCGAGGCGCCGCAGATCACATGACACTGTGATGTGTCGCAGGGTGGCGTGGAGAGCCGTGAAACCAATGTGGCACCATCGAGGAGGATGCGGGCTCATCGACAAGCTCCGTCGCGAGAGTCATCTCCCTCCCTCAAGATGCCCCAGCGTGCGACAGACAGACGCACGTGTTGACTGCCGGGCTGAGCTGCAACCCAGGAGCATGCTCGTCGTCTGCCCTGTTGCCTGCCAGCACCGCGATGCATCACTCTCTGAGTGCTTTCAGAATGATATTGTGTGTTGCAAAAGCGGCGGCATGTATGTGTGTGCTTGCAGTCACTTTGCAGCGGGGCTGGTGAGACCGCCAGGCACCACTGACAGGCAGAAACCCAACCAAAACGTTTCCGCACGCAGCTGGCACAATGGCAGAGTAAGACCACCCCGACCTCATCGCGTGGTCAAAGGTCGTTTACCAGCTCGCCGCCGTGCATGCCGCACCGCCATTCGACGTCTTGCGAACTGCCACGCTCAAAGCAAAGTCGTGATGGAAAACAGGCAAAAGCTGCTGAGTGTGCACTCTGGGCTTGATTGGCCACCGCCTTGCTCGGGCCTTGCCCGGCCGGCGCCGCGGGTGGCGTACCTAGCGGCGTGCCCGTCAGACATCCCGCTCGTGCGGGTGGCTTGAACTGGTTCGCCCAAGCCGCACTCGAACAGCCCGTGCACTGGCATACCTTGGGCACCGTGCGACGCTTGTGAAATCGAATCCGGCGGCCGGCTGATTGTGCGTGGAGAGATAAACATGTTCCGCATTCCACGTGCGAGCAGGGCCCTTTTGCCTGTCTTGCATGCGTTGTGCTTGCCAAGAGATGGGCACCGGCAGCAGGGTGTTAAGCAGCGTTCTTGGCGCTTGAGTCCAATACGAGGTGCGTGTACAACAAGCGCCTTTGGGGGCATCGAAGCCGGCCTCACAGAAGCGGACTGCTTGTAAGCACGCGCCACAAAAAGCAACTTGAAACCGGTAAGAGGGATCTGACAAACACATTTGCAGATATAAGCACGCCTTGTCCATTGAAGCGATTCACGATACAGATGCCACAGCGCCAAGCGGTTTGCACCGCCGCCTGATGTGGCGAGGCATAGGCCAGGATGCCACGCGTGATGGCAGTTTTGTGGGCATGTGTGACGTGGGAGTAGGCATACTCGATTCGTGATTACGCACGCTCGCGTGTGTAAGTAAGCACGTGTGCACGCTTGCAGCGCGTGTGTGTGACTGCACGTGAGTGTGATTGCGCACGCGCACGTGCGTACGTGTGTGTGTGTGTGTGTGTGTGTGTGTTTGCGCGTGCGCGCAGAGTGCAAGAGAAATGGTCAATGTTGCCAACAGTAGCATTGTGGCGTTGGAACAAAGCGCTCAATGAACGAAGCAATGAGCTGAGGAAACAGAGGCATTTCATCGGGTTGCAAGTACTAGGGGGCCGCAGCTGCGCCTCTGACAGCCGCCGCCGCCCCTTTTTGGGGCTAGCAGCTGACAGGTCAGCAGTCCCTACTCAAGAGCATATCAGGCCAACAAACCCTGGCCTTGGGCACTGAGGTTCAAAGGCTGTCTAAGGCACTGATTGTTTTGGATTGTCATCTCCAAGATTTGAACCTGTGCCAGACACGCAGGACACATCAGGGCAGTTGTTGCGCAAGAGGAGGAAAAGCGCGACCCCAAAGATGGTCCGAAGCAGGCGGGGCGCGCCTGTGCGTTGAGTGTGTGGTCAAGCCAGCCGGTGGGTCAGGTGCATCACCCTGTAGTGGCTAGACCTGTGTGCGGGATGACAGCGTGAGCCAGCCGGCGGCCAAAGCCCATCACTGTGGACGCGGCGGCCCCCTCCCGCTCGCCGCCGCGAGCGGCGGCCGGCCCGTGACGGACGCGCCCCTGGGCGCCGCGGCGGCCACGGGCGGCATGACGTCAGCATCAGACACCTGGGCAAACATCTCCTGCAGCCTGCCAGTGATGTCATCAAACGTCGGCCGCGCCTCGGGGTCCGCAGCCCAGCAGGCCTCTACCAAAGCAGCGTAAGCCGGCGGCGTCGCGCTCGGGACCGCGGGGCGGCGCCCGGCGCGGCAGACTCTGTCCACTATTGCGGCCGGGATCAAGCCTGCGGCGGCGGGTCGAGACGAGGGGCGGTGCCAAGAGCGCAAATGAGGGTGCTGTTTGCCCCTTGGCATGCGACCGGCGGCCGTGCGGCCGAGGAACACGGCTGCGGGCCGGCGAGTGACCGCAGCGGGGCAGGGGCAGCGCCTTGCGCGGGCAAACCCACAAAGCCCGGACGCTCGGCTTCGCGCGGGCTGGTGGGGTGCCGTATGCCAGGAACAGAGTTGCACACGGTTTGCCTTTCAATCCTGATCTCGTCGGGCCACCGACCTGCGAATGCCCTCTGGCCTGTGTAGACCTCCCACAACAGGATGCCAAACGCGTAGGCGTCGACCGCCTTGGTGATGATGGTGCCGGCCTTGAACATCTCTGGCGCCAGGTGCGTCACGGTGCCGGCGCCATCCAGGTTCACCGAGTGGTCAGAGTCGTTCAGGATGCGCGTCAGGCCAAAGTCCGCAAGCTGCGGTGTTTTGGCGGTGGGTGGGTTGGGTGCAGGTTCAGTCGGCGTCCATTGTTCAGTGCTTGGGCTGCGCCGACATTACACGTTGCTTTGTTGCGTGAAGCACAAGAGCGGAGAGCGAGGGCGCTAGCGTGGGTTCTGAGTGGAGCCAGACATGGCGGTCAGTCTCTGGCTGGCAGGGCCAACAGCGCCGCTTGCAAGCTGCCATGCCGTTGAGGACGATCAACTGCACCTCAGCCCAAGCACTGGCAATCAGACGGCCTGGCGCCCCGGCCAGCAACGCCGCGCCTCGGTGGCTGCGCAGGGGCCGCACCTTTGGCGTAACGCCCAGCTGGCGCGAGGGGTCGCTCTTCAGCAAAATGTTCTCCATCTGGCGGTTTGGGGCGATTTTTTGGCGGTTGGTGGGCGGTGAGCAGACAGTGGCCGGTGGTGAGCCGTTGATGCTCCGCGTCGCCTGCAGGTGCTTTCTTGCTGCCCCTAGATCCACCGGAGCCTCGACAGCGCAAAGCCCTGTGGACGGCCCCATGTCTTCTCACACCCGGTGAGCCCTTGTCAGCCAGCTCAGCCCCCTCAACCTCCAAGCAATGGCTTTGAGGGACGCCCGTGGCATTCTTTTCTTCCGGGCAGCCCCAAGATATTTTCCTGAGGGGACATTTTAGGGGAAAAGTGCTGCTGGCACCGGGAGCTCACTTTGATGTCGCCGTGCACAAGGTTTATGGAGTGGAGGTGCTGAACAGCGTAAGCCACATCCAGCAGCAGCTCCAGGCCGTTAGCCAGCCGCACGCCGATGGCGCCCCCGGGCAGCTGCTGGTGCAGCAGGCCGCTCTTGATGGCGGTGCGCAGCGTGCCGCGGTCGCAGAGCTGCAGCAGGGGAGGGCCGGGGTGGGTGTGTGTTTGCGGGATCGGGATTGGTGATGAGTGGCATGTGGGTTGGGTGTGTGCGGCCTGGGTGGGTGCGGCCTGGGTGTGAGTCGCCTAGGTGTGTGCGGCCTGGGGTTGGTAGGGTCTTGGAGGGTGCGATGCTTCCGTGCATGCACCTTACAATGTCGGTTACAACGCAATGTTGTTGCAAAGAGCAGCAGGTGCATGATTGCATGCGCGCACACACAACACACACACACACACACACACACAACACGACCGCCACCGACAACAAAACAGCACAACACACACACACACACACACACACACACACACACACACACACACACGTCGACCCACCTCCATCACCACGATGCTGAACACCGCTTGCTCCCCCCAGGCGCTCTCCTCCGGCCGCAAGCGCCGGTAGCGCGTCTTGGCCCCCAGCAGCAGGCTGCTGCTGCTGCTCGCGCCGCCGCTGCTCTTGTCAGTGTCTTGGATCATGCAAAAGCGAGTCAAAACCAGAGGTGCGAGAGAGTCTAGGAGTGACGAAGCAAGCTGAAATCCCGGTCTATATCCAGATGACCTGCAGCGGCACGCGCCCGCTCCTTACAGTGAACAGATGAGGCCTGCCCGAGGCTCGGAGGCGGCCCGGCAAGGAATGAGCACACGCAGGCGGCGGGCAGGCGCAGCCGCAGCGCTGAAGCCGGCGCAGGCGCACCGGTGTCCTCCACCATGTCTGTGAGGCAGCTGAAGACGCTGACTACGTGAGGGTGGTGCACCGTCGAAAGAACCGCCATCTCAACTGCGTCCCGCATGGCCTGCGTTGTGTAACCACGGCCACCGAGCGGGGCGCGATAAGATATGCGTGAGCGGCAGGGAGGATGAGCGCGGGGCAGCTGCGCCCGGCAAGGGCCGTGCAGGCATGCGCGTGCGCCATCTTCGGGCGCAGGGCGTTCGCTCTCCGGCAAACTGGGCCAGTCGACAAGCCACGGCGGGGTGCGGGCCGCGAGCTACACACTCGTGGCGACGGCGTTGGCGTGTGCTCACCTCGCGCTCGGTCGCGCGCGCCGGCATGATCTGCGGGTGTGGGGGGCGACGATCGCAGCACAGCCAACAGAGCCGTTTCAGGGTCAATCGGGGGCAGCAGAACAGGGGCAGCCGAGCGGAAAATGCGCACACACGAGCCCGGGATCCTGCTGCCTGTGGCAACCTGGAGCTTGCCCAGAGGTTCACTCTGACGTGCAAGGCTGGTGGGCCGTTGCGATTCGCTGATTCGCGCGATCCGCACCGCACCTTTGCAGCCACGGGCACCCTGTGCCACCACGCCTTGTGCACGACGCCAAATCCACCCTTCCCCAGCATCTGCAGAACGTGTGTGTGTGTGTGTGCGTGTGTGTGCGCGCGCGCGTGTGTGTGTGTGTGTGTGTGTGCGTGCGTGCGTGCGTGCGCGCGCGCGCGCGTGTGTGTGTGTGTGTGTGTGTGTGTGTGTGTGTGTGTGTGTGTGTGTGCTCGCGCGCGCGTGTGTGATATTCATATGCGTGGGCATGTGTGTTTTTCGCAAGCTCCAAGTACCCAATTATACAAAACATTATCAACTTGAGGGATCTGGGCGAGTGCAATTGCAGCCCCGCACCGGGCCGACGACCAGCTCTTGTGCCCCGGCGCCCTGGCGCCCCTTGGCCCTCAGGTCCTGCTGCAGAACCTGCAGTTTGTTGAAGGAGAAAGACGGTAACGTCAAGTGACTCCACCAGAAATGTCAGCAAAGCAACAACGTCCGCGCGACCCCGGCGGCGATGACGTCGCTCTCGCACCACCCGATAGGGGGCAAGGAGTTGGGGGACTCAGGGGTGTGCCACACACAAACCTGGACTGCATGCCAAAGCCCAACTCCCCTCCTTGACCGCCACCTGGGCCCAATGAAGAACCATCATTCGCCATTTTCTCAATCCCAATGAAACGGCTGGGGCATTCCCGACCGCACCTGTAGCATCGCCTCAGCGTTGATCCGGTTGCCACCCATCGCAGTCAGACTGCCAGCCCGCGCGGCCGGCAGGGCGTCGCTCGCCAGCGCCACCAACGGCACGCTGGTGCCGGCCGGCGCGGCCGGGGCGCCCCCGGCGAGCGGCCGGGCCTTGGCGGAGCCTGCGTGGCTGTGAGGGGCCGGCACCAGCTTGCAGCCTCCCCCTTTTGACGAGGCGCCCTGCGAGTGCATGCGCGCGTGTGATTGCCTGGGGAGCTGCAGGGCCGGCAATGCAACGGCCCTATGCCCCTGGTCAGCGCACAGCTGCCTGATCATTGTTAACACATATTGTTGGTGTCCCGCTGCAAAACCTTTTGGAGAGTGTGTCCCCTTGTGCGCCTGTCCCGCAACCCTCTCCCCACCTTGTAAACGCACCCAGACAACCACAACTTGCGCGCCCACGCGTGCACGCACACATCGCCAACACTCGTCACGCATGCACACATATATACATACACACGCGCAAATCCCCGTGCACGCACGCACACTGCATGCGGACACCACACGCGCTCATACCTGATCGGCAACCAGCGCCGCCAAGAACTCTGCCTGGCCGGCGAGCTTGTTGTGCAGCAGGGGGGTGACGGTCGATATGAAGCCCTGTGTTGGAGCATAGGGGTCCAATGATTGGCAGGGGAACGGGCTTATTTACTTGGCAAAAAATGTGAGGTGACGGAAGGTGTGTGTGTGTGTGTGTGTGTGTGTGTGTGTGTGTGTGTGTGTGTGTGCGTGTGTGTGTCAATTGGGATCGCCTGGCCGGCCGCCTCGCGGATGTGCGCGCGTCAGTCACAGTTGCAATGAGGTGGACGTGTGCACATGTGCACATGCCTGCATGTGCGCGCCCGCACACACACGCTGATACGCACAACCAAACACACACCCTGTCACAGATGCACAGATACTTATAGAGAAAGTGAGAGGTTGAGAGGAAGAGGGAGATGGGGAGAGCGTGCGCATGGACCCACCAGCAGGGTGTCCTGGAACCCCCCCATACACACACACACATACACACACATACACACAAATATATACATGCACACACATACACATACATACACTCACACACACACGCACAAAAACACACGTATACACACACACCCAATCGCACACAAGGACCCACCAGCAGGGTGTCCTGGATGTTTGAAACGTCGCAGGGCTGGTCCATGGCAAAGTAAATGCCCCCCAGGACGCTGCCGCCGTCGTCCTCGCTGATCAGCGGCACCACCACCAGGGACGAGACCCGGCCCGACGACCGCGTGAACACGTCGCGCGCGGGGCGGACGCAGGTCTGCGCGCCGGCGGCGGCATGGATGTGTCAGGGACGCACTCGTGGCGCGACAGGGTCTCCAAGTCGGCTTTGGGGTGATGGAATACAAAGCGCGAGCAGGACAGCGTTCAAAAAAACCCGCGCATGCCCTATGCATGTGTGTTTGTTGCTTATTACTACCAAAGGCGGCTCGCCTGCAAGTATGTCCCGCAGTCGGTGATGAAACGGGCCTCCTGCTGCCTGACCGCGGACGCCAGCAGCGTGCTGGCTAGCGGCAGCCGCGTCGCCGCGACTGGAGCCGTCGCGTCGCCCGGCAGTACGAGGCTGCCGCCTGCCGGGGCGCACACCGAGCCGCCGGCCTTCTCGCGGCCGCGGCCGGGCGCCTCGAAAAGGAGGGCGCTGCTCGAGGGGGCGGGCTCGAGCAGCGCCAGGCGGGCGCTGACGCGCATGCTGCACGCGCGCAGCATGTAGCGCGACGCGCTCTGCGGGCCGGGCGCGGGCAGCGGCGCAGGCTGGGGTCGGCAGGGGCGTGTCAAGCCGCTGGCGGGTGCGAATGGCGGCGGCAGCGGCTGGGGCG